TGGATTGCGAATGCCGCCAGTCGGTCGCTGCTCTTCTCGGTTTGTGGCGGGGCGGCGGCACCGCTGAGCCGGCGGACATGTCAGCACCCCATGCGATGCCACAAAACGAGCAACCTTCGGCTCTCACGTGCACTGGCAGGCTTTCCGATCTGCCGGCGAGCCCCACAGCCTTGTCGCAGACGCGCTCTTTCGTGTCGCACCGTTTTTGCACAGTTGACGGGCGGCGTCCATCCATCGTGCACAGCAAGTCTCGAGGATCGGTGGCACATGCTTGACAAGAGCCAGTTCACGGTGCTCAAGGTGATGGGCGGCCAAACTCGCATGCATGGGCCGGCGGAGAGGCCTCCCTGGCCAGTCCCGGCACGGCTGAGTGGCCGCGCTAGGATCGGACCCATCGCCGCCCGCATATGCGCCACTGGCAGCGGCGGCTCTGGCGGCGGCGGGCGCCGCCAGCGGCAGTTGCTCGACATTGTCGCTGCTCCCCTGCTGCAGCTCTATCGCGACTGCCTGCGCCTCGCCGACTACATCAGCACGCAGGTGGGTCCGTCTCGCTGCACCCTGGCCGCACCTGTTGCTGTGCTGCCTGCTTGCCGCGCCGCTCCTTGTGCCCACGCCGCCGCCAGCCCGCCGCCCGGCCCGCTTCGCCACACGCCGCAGCCCCTTTACCGTGTTGTGTTATAAACGATGTTTTGCAGGGTGGCAACCGGCGGGTGCTGCGCGACCAGGTGCGGCAGGCGTTCAAGAAGAACAAGGACGAGACCGACCCGCAGAAGATTGAGGAGCAGAAGGAGGCGTGAGTGGGCGATGCCTGCTCCAGCTGCTGCCGCTGCTGCTGCCGCTGCTGCCGCTGCTGCCGCTGCTGCCGCTGGCTGGTGGTTCTGCTGTCGCTGCTGGTGCTGGTGGTGCTGGCTGGTGGTGCTGGCCTCAGAAGAAAGGGTAGCAGCAGGAGGCGTGAGCGGAGAGGCTGCCGGTTGGCCCCTGCTGAACCCCTACAGTGCTGTGCGCTGGGGGAAACAAACATCTGCCCACGCCCTCCCTGCGCCTGCCTCCCCCCTGCCCCCCCTCTGCAGTGCTGTGCGTGGCCTCTCCAACTACATGTTCCACGAGGCCCAGCGCCTGGCCAAGGAGGAAGTGCAGCAGGGCAACGACAGGTTCGACGGCTGACCGCCGTTTGACCGACCTTTGACCGCCCTTTGACCGACAGCTGGCGGCCCTAAACCCAAGTCCTGAAGGGCACCCGTCGGGCCAATAAAGAGCTTTACTGGGATAGATTGTCTAGCGGCACATGACGCTACACGCAGCGAGCCTGGTGATGCGCGGCGGCGGCGGCCTGGCCGGAGCCGGGCCGGCCGTCTGCGGCGGCCGCCCGCGGCGCCTGCGCCGCGCGCCGCCGGCTTGCGCCGCGGCGGGGCCCGCACGCCACGGCGGCCGCCGCGGGCGCAAGGCCGACGAGATGGCGGCGCCGCCGCCGCCGGCGGCAGACGACGAGGGCGGCGCCGCCTCCCTGGCGGGCGAGCGCCATCAGTCGGCGGCGCAGGCTGCGGCCCTGTCTGAGCGGCAGCAGCAGCAGGTGGACGCGCTGGCGGAGGCGATCAGCCGGAAGCTGGGGGCGCTGGCGGAGTCGGATGAGTGGACGCCAGGTCAGCGCCGGTACCGCCTGGTATCCTGCCCGCCTGCCCGTATGCCTGCCTGCCTGCCTGCCTGCCTGCCTGCCTGCCTGCCTGCAACAGGACAGCGGGGGCTGGCTGGCTGCCTGCCTGGCGTGACCGCCGCCGCAGCGCCGCTGCCGCCTGCACCGCCGCCTGCCCTTCTCGGCACGCCGCGCCCAGCAATCAAGAGGCGTGCGCAGAGTTTGCTTTGCAGTTCTCGCCTCGCCGCCTCACCTTGCCTCAGGGTATAGCATAGCATAGTCTTTGCCTCGCCTGCCGCCGAACCTTCCCCCGCCCGCAGACCAGATGCTGCGGCTGGATGCTGAGCTGGACGCTGAGCTGGCAGGGTTCGCCGAGGCGGGGGGTGACGGCGACCTGGGCACAGGCGACGGCTTCCTGGAGTTTGGGGCTGGGGCAGAGGAAGTGCTGGAGGCACGGCGCCGCCAGAAGCAGCAGCGGCGGGACGCCTACTCCGCCGCGGCCGCCACAGAGGCAGCGGGCGAGGTGGCGGCGGCGGGGCCGGGCGGGCGGCGGCGGCGGGACCGTGCTGCGCCGGGCGGCGGCGCCGCCGGCGGCGGCCTGGGGCCTCAAGTGCCTGATGAGCTGCTTCCCAAGGTGGCGATCGTGGGCAGGCCCAACGTGGGCAAGTCGGGTGAGGGCCGGCGCTGAGGTGGCGCTGAGGTGGCACGCTGTGCCTGCTGCGCCTGCTGGGCCCTGCTGGATCCTGCCAGGCCTGCCCCGAGCGAGCGGTGGCGGTCAAGCGGCTTGCGCCGGCCTGGCGCGTGGCGGCGGGGCGGGCCTTCCCCTCGCTGCTGCCGGCGGCTGGCTGCTCCCACGCACGCTCCGCCCCCGCCCTCTCCTCCTGCCTCTGCCCGCCGCCGCCGCCGCCGCCGCTTCTGAGCCGCGCTGCCCTGCGCGCGTCTCGCCTGCCCGCCTCCCCTCCCTCCCTCCCTGCCGCTCGCCTGCGTGCGCCTCATCCACCCGCTCCCCTCCCTCCTCTCCCCTCCACCCCGCCCTCGCCTGCGCAGCCCTGTTCAACCGAATCGTGGGCAGGCAGGTGGCAATTGTGTATGACTACCCGGGAGTGACGCGCGACAGGTGGGCCTGCTTTCTTCCTTTTCCTCCTTTCCTCCCGCCTTCCATTGTCCTCATGTCCTCCTGCTTTCCGTGTTCCTCCCATCCTCCCGTTCCTTCCCTCGTGTGGAGCTGCTCCCTGCTTCCTTCCCTCTTTCCCTCGTGGGCCTGCCGTCCCGCTTCCTCCTTTCCTCCCGCCTTCCTCTGCTAGTGGGCCTGCTTCTTTCTCCCTCCTGCCTTCCTCCCGTTTCTCGGTTCCCTGGTGTGGGGGCCCTGTGGGAGACGCTGGTCGCCGGGGCGGCGCCATGCGCGCCCGCGTGTGCGGGCAGGGCTGCGCCAATGGATTCCGCGCTTTGCAGTACCACCTTCCCTTGTACCCACCATGGTACCGCAGGCTGTATACCCGCGCCTTCTGGGGGGACCACGAGTTCCTGCTGGTGGATACGGGTGGCCTCATGAGCGACGCCGAGAAGCTGCCCAAGGAGCAGCAGGTGGCCGCACTTTCCTCCCATGCCTACCAGCTTCGACCTGGGTTTCCAGCCGTACCGCCTGGCCGTCTGTTAGCTGGCCGGGTTTGGAGCGGGGGCCGGCTGGGATGGGCCTTGGGGACTCCTCCTCGACGCCCCTCGCCCCCTCTCCCCCCGCCCCCACCCTCACCCCACTGTTTGCAGGAGGTTGCGCGGCACAGCATCAGCGCAGCGGGGCTTCCCGCCGCCATCGAGCGCCAGGCGGCGGCGGCGGTGGAGGAGGCGGATGCGCTGGTGCTGGTGGTGGATGGGCAGGCACGCGCTGCGCTGCGCTGTACCGCTCATTGTACTGCTGCATGTACTGCCACCGCACTGCTGCCACGGTACCGCTGCCCTTGCCACCGGATGATCGGGCTGGCTGCCGGGCGCTTTGTGGGCATCGCGCTGCTGGCACCAGGCCCTTCCGCCGGCCCCGTGCCAAGGCCCGCCCCTTCCTTCCGGCTGCAAACCCGGCCTGCCGTGCTTTCCTCCCGCAGACGGGCGGCACCTCGGCCGATGAGGAGATCCAGGCCTGGCTGCGGCGCATGCACCCCAACAAGCCAGGTGCGGGCGGCCCGCCTTGTTCCTGGATCCTGGGCTGTGTTGCTGGGCTGGGAGCTGGGAGAGTGTAGGCAGATGATCAAGAGGCGGACACCGCCCGAGCGGCGTGCCGCCGTCGGCGCAGCGCCACCACGTCAGCGCTGCCGGCCCCCTGCCGCCGGCCTCCTCTAGGCCGCCCCTCTCCCGACCGCTCTGCCCTGCAGCTGCAGCGGTGCTGAACAGGTGCCTTTCCCGCAGCCCCGTTTACCTCCCCTAGCCTGACCCTCTCCCTCCATACCCTCCCTTGCGCCTCCTCCCCTGCCCCCCACCTCCTGCAGTCATTCTGGCCGTTAACAAATGCGAGAATGCGGCAAAAGCCGACCTGCAGGCGGCCGAATTCTGGGGCAGCGGGCTGGAGCCCATTGCGGTGTCCGCCATCAGCGGCTCAGGTGCGGTACGGGGGGGCGGTACAGGTTGCGGCACCCAACCAGGATAGATGCGGCACATGCCGCAGTACAGGCTGCATCGGACAATCTGTCCCGCATGTGCTGGACTCACATCAGTGGAGCTTCTTTCTTCGCCGGCACCGCTCGACCGTCAGCCCGGCACCCACTGCTGCCCCTGCCCCTCCTCCCTCCCTCCCTCCCTCCCACCTTACCCTCACCCCCGCAGGCACAGGAGAGCTGATGGAGCGGCTGGCGGCTGCGCTGCCTCCGCCGCCCACCCTGGCGGAGGCCGCAGACCGGCTGGAGGGTGCGGAGGCGCTGTCAGGTGAGAAGGTGGCGGCGGCGGTAGTGGGGGTGGTGGTGGTGGTGGTGGTGGCGTGGTGGTGGCGTTTTTGGTGTGGTGGGGGCTGTGTGCGGATAGTGGCGGTGCTGTGTTTGGGCGCCGTCAGGCTAGGAGGAGTTGGGAAGGTGGCGGCTTTAAGAAGCTTGGTGCTTGGGGCGCTGCCGCCGTTACGGCTCTTTCTGGCCCCTGACCCCCGCCCCCGCTGCGCCTCCCCCTGGCTACCCCCTGCCTCTGCGACCTGCTGCAGTGGCCATCATCGGGCGGCCCAACGTTGGAAAGAGCAGCCTGCTGAATGCGCTGGTGGGGGAGGTGAGCGGGCACGCCAGACACCGGTGGGCGGCGGCGGTTTCACCTTTCGGAGGCGGCGCAGGAGGAGGGAGGGGAGCAGGGAGTGCCGGCGGTGGAGGAGGAGGCGGAGGCGGAGAGGGCACGTTGCCTGCACAGCAGGCCTGCACCGCGGCGCCGCGCAGCGGGGGCGGCGTGCCTGCGGGCTGCTTGGACCCAGCCCCTGACCCTGACCCAGCCCCTGCCCCCTGCCCGTGACCCTGACCCAGCCCCCTGCCCCGCCTCCCCTCACCTGCCGCAGGAGCGCTCCATCGTGAGCAGCATGGCGGGCACGACGCGCGACGCGATTGACACAGGTGGGGTGTGTGTCCCTCTCTTGCCCTGCCCCCTGCCTCCTCCCTTTCCTCCTGCTTCACCTTGCTCTCCTGCCCCCTGCCTTCTTCCTTCGCCCCCTGTCTTCTCCTTTCCTCCTGCTTTGCCTTGCTGTCCCTGCGCGTCTGCTGGCCCAGCCAGCCGGGCCCCCGCTGCCGTCTGCCTCTCTGCCTTTTCTGCTAGACGCCAAACCGGGAAGTTTAAGCCTCGGTTTTGGAGGCTTCTTCCCCACCTTTTCACCTGTACCTGTATCCATCTCCCCTGCTCCCAAGCCTGTCGCCCTCCCTGCCTGCCACCCAACACAGACCTGGTACTCACAGACGGCAGCAAGTTCAAGCTTGTCGATACGGCGGGGGTGCGCAAGCGCACGGCCATCGCGGGCAGCAAGGACGGCGCAGAGGTGGGGCTGGCATGCTGAGCTGGCAGGCTGAGCTGGCAGGCTGAGCTGGCTGGCTGGCTGGCGGTGATGCGTGCCCCTGGGGCCAGCAGCCGCCCTGACCCCCGCTCCGGCTGCTTGGCACGCGCGCCCCGCCAGCCAAGCCTCGGCTTCGGCTGGACCTTCGTTTGTTCTGCCTTGCTCTCCTCCCGTCTTGCTTGCATTGAGCTGCAGCTGGCGCCTGCACACCGCACACAAAACCTTCCCGCCGCCGCCACCTGCCTGCCTGGTACCC